ACGATGCGCAAAAAGAGAACAAAACCGAAATTAAAAATTACCAGTTAATTTCTCTTTTGTCAGTTACCTCAAAAAATATTAGAGGCATTTCTATACCCGAATGGAAGCTCTTCTCAGGAAAAACGAAGCGTCTTCAGACTCTCAACACGGGTTTAGAAAATCAAATTCTATGGAAACTGCCATTTTTTCTTTTCTTAAAGATATTGCTTGGTCAATGGACCAAAATGAAGCACCCATTAGGATATTCTTGGATCTTTCGACGTTATTGACCATAACATCCTGTTCTCAAAATTACCTTCATATGAAATTAGGGTAATGCCCTAGTATGGATAACCTCGTACCTTAAACATCGTGTGTACAGGTACCGTACTGGCACGAAATGTCATTATTTAATTATCTTTCCAATTCTCTACCAATTGAGCATGGGACATGAGCAAGGTTGGATTTTATGTCCTATACTCTGTGTTATATATAACAGATATGCCCTCGTCTATTAAAAATGGAAGAACAGTTCTGTTTGTCGATGACACTAATGTTCTTTATAAAGAACAACAACAATAAACAGTACGATTTCAGAAGTTTCAAATTTGATTTGTTACAACAAATTAATAGTTAAGTAAAAACAGTTACTATGTATTTTTCCATTTCAAATCGGCAATCGCATGCTCCATTGAAAATAAACAATATGTAATTAGCTGATCTTTACGTAAAAAAGAATTCTATGTACCTCATTTCAATCAAACACTAAATTAAGTTCATTATTTTACACATTCAGGATTCATTCCAATTCTGTCAGCCTTCATGCAGCTCATTGCATGTATTTTGCAAATGTACATTCCTGCCTGAGATAAGGCATATTATTCTGGGGACGCTCATCCTGTAGTAACCAGACCTTTGGACTGCAAAAGAAAATGATTCGAACATTGGAAAAATGCCAAACACGTGATCCCTGCATGCATCTCTTAATCGAGCTGGAAATTTTACCACAGCCGTGCCTATTTATTTAAGAGTCTGTAATTTTTGTGAAAACCGACTTAATTAGCGATGGGAAACTTATTTTCATGCAATACTTATAATTTATATTTAATACAATTATTAGACAACACACGTATAAATCACATTAATGGAGTGTTGGAATGAACGGCTCAATAGAAGAACTCCACATACTATACATGAACGTTACTTTACAATGCATTTCCAGATGACATTAAACAATTGTTGGCACACAGATTTAAGTTAAAAGTAACATATTTTCTGTTGCATAACTGTTTCTATACAATTAGAGACTACACTGACCATCAAAACGAAAAATAATGTGTGTGTGTTTTTTTTTAAACAAAACGGTGATATAATGAATTAATTTTCATTTGTATTGTATTTTTTTTTAAAAGGACTTAATATGCTTGCAACAAATATTGTACTTCAGCTTCCATGTCAATGACCCCCATCTCGATCAGATTTTTGTCCAGTTTCCCTGATCCATTGAGCAAATGCTGAGATGGCCCCTTGTTTTTCTTCTGGACGTAAATGTAGCTTCACTATGCGCACGTTTTGTTGAATTCTTTGCTTGTAGTAGTAAGAGCAGAGGTAAGGGTGACTTACTATTTTGTTAGCGATGCAGAAAAATCAAACCTGGAGATCGTTTACCGTTGCAAATAAGTTTTCTATAACTTTGGAACGAAAATGTCTAGTTTTTCAAATGTTTCTAATCTCGCACTTTTTTAAATTTAATTTTTATTACTTTAACTTTTATTAAATCTTTCAACTATTTATAGTTGAAACGTTGGGAAGGGATTCTGGAACTCAAGGAAACGTGTGCAGATCTCCCCAATATGTCCCATACTGATTTTTGACTGAATAAATCAAATATTATCTGTATAACTTCTATTTATCCATCCGTCCATGTCCATCAACGTTAACGCCTTAACCGTTCAGCCAATTTTCTCAAAAATTAATGTTCCTCAATTGATGTAAATGAACTCGATGCTCCCAAGAGTTAAACACCGAAATTGTGATTTTGAGGCTAATTGAAACAAAGCCTGAGTTTTCAAAATTTTCGCAAAAATGGCTGTTCTCGGGTAGCGGACGCATGAAAATATAAATGGGACATTTTTTTAAAATCCCTAATTTTTCGAAAATTGCAAAAGTTTAATTTAATTTCAAGGTCTTCCTACAATTACAATATTGAAGATAAAGACTTTTCCTCAATGTTATCTGTTCTTTAAAGGCAGATATTGAATTAGTCATGTACAATATTTTTAAATTATGAGTACTACCTACATAGTTTTCGCGTAATTTTAGGTGAAATATAGGATTCGTTTTAGCAAAATGGCTACAAATTAAAAAAAAAATTCTTTTAGCTCATATGCATCAAAAGACAGGAAAAAATTGGTGCTAGGCTCATTTCCGGTGAATTTTCTGTTTTCGAAAATAATAATTGAACAGTTCAAAACTATAAAGCTGAAGATAGACCTTTGCCCTCAACTCACACTGCCCTAAATAAACATATACACATTATATGTATGCGTGTGTGTTTATATAAATATATATTTGAAAACAACAAATAATGCAGAGAAATTCGAGCGGTTGAAGTGCCAATAGTTTAATAAGCTATGCACTTTTCAGAAACAATTTCATGGATGTTTCAAACCGAGGGAAGTAGATATAATAGATGTGACAGACAAAAACAAACTGGACACCTTGGTGTGTATTAATGGCATTCGTGGGTCCCTCACCGAATTGGGCAGGTTACTAATTATAAGTAAATACGTGTTATCTAATAAATACGTGTTACCTACTTTAAAATGAAACCCCATTGAAATTTCAAAATTTTCAGAAAAATGGCTTGAAAACAATTTTTAAGTAAGGATATTTGTTCCTCTTTATTTAAAAGTCTATTGTTCATATTGACAATTACCCTCTGAATTACCTGCACTCTTAGTAGTTTCATAGGACTTGTTAGATTCAGATGTAAAGTCTAAAAGATTCTGTTTTCATAGCCTTAGGAAGAAACTTTTCATATTTATACTGCAAAAGACATTAGTGTGCTAGTACACATCCTATACTTGAATTTTTATTTCTTGGCGTGTATGCCACTGATGACCGAGTAGTGCTGGCCAGAGAGTATATATATGCTGGCAATTATGCGACATGACCGAGAGATGCGAAACACCGTGAGATATTCTACCAAGTAAAGCAAGGCCACGCCACCAATAAATAAAAACCCAAATATAATCAGGTGGTTTTCCCTAAAGTTACTGGACATCAAACTGAACATTGTACAACCAATACTCCTAGCCTGAAATTTCTGACCACAAACTTGTTCATGAAAACTGCTCCATCTGACAATTTATACATACTTTGAAACTCATGAAGAAATTCTGTACTTTCACTCTCACATGTTTATCAGTAGCACCCAAAATTATTGAACACACTACCAAATAATAAGCTTTGCATTTCTTTCACCTGTATATGTACGGGATTCAGGCATGCTTTGAAAGTGTAACAGTAAGAATTTTCATGATTACAAGTTTGATTCAAACAAGATGTTAGTTACAATAATTTTAACTGATAATTAATTATACTGAATTTGTGATAAATTGTAACTGCTTCTGTGTTTCACACAAATTTTACTGATTCTGCAAACTACAATAATTTTATCTACTGGTTCACATGAGCCCGTGCAAACCAGCTTAATGACAGCACTGGTTTTAATGTGCCCCAGCAGGGATTGGTTGTGAAGAAATTGGGACATCGATGAATAGGAAATGGTTCTTATTGATACTTTGGTGATATGATGTGCGTTAATCTTTATTATCTCTGAAAATATTTGACGGGGCGGGATAATATAAATGAGGAACATTTTCCAATATAAAAACTGGTAAACAGCAAAAGCATTTTTTCCCCATACATTTATTTACATGAAGGTTGAAAAGATAATTTTTATTCAGCAACCTGAATCATCTTTATCAAAAATAAATACATACAAATTTGATTTGCTTCCAGTTGCACACATTCATCTTGGATTTCTATCTCCAATAACTTTCATAAAACTACTATCGATACACACATGAAAAATGAAAATGAATTCCTACAAAAATTACATTGTCTTATGTTCTCTGCACTGATGACCTACAAAGAAACACTCACAGAAAAGACCAAGGTCTGTGAAACTTACAAAGAAGTCAGGTGAGGAACATAAGCAATTACGAATATACAAAAATTCAATATTTAATACAATCAATAATTAAAGCAGATTTAAAAGTGTTGAGCCAATTAAAACTAACTATGACTTAAATATATTACAGTGAAATCAACTAAAAAGTAGGTGGGATGAACTTGACATATTGAATAAAAACATTAGAGTTAAAATTATCAAGTACGTTAATGGCCAGTGATAACTTATTGATTTCGTTACTGATAAAATTAAAAAACGTGTAAGTTGGGACAATTTCAATTTTCTTTTGTCAAAATGTGAGTGACGTACGTACCAACTTCAAATGTTTAGAAAAGTTTAGTTTTATATTAAAAGAATTCTTTTTACTGAACTAGGTAGGTCCTGGAATTATTGAATACTGAATTTAAGTCATTATATAATTTAAACAAATGATCGGAATGTAGATGATAGTTCTTGTTTTAGAGGAAGGGGTGCTTTTATTGGTGTGAAGAATAAGTATAAAAATTTTAAACTGAAATTTTTTTATGATGAGGCACATCTGTTGGCCTTGGAGTGTGAGGGCAAAATGTGATTGTTCCAGATGTTCATTTCTCTCCTTCAGAGAATGAAAATTAGTGTTTGGGGGTGAATTGACGACGAATGGTGGCTCTAACTTGTTCAGTGCGAAACGAATGTTGGAACCTTCACAGGCTACCTAGTTTTTAGGTTGGTGTTGTTTTGTGACAACCAAAACCTGCTCTTAAACTTTGACTGATCAATGTCTATAAAGTTAAATTTAAAAAAATTAATAATAATAAAAAGAGTATATACAAATATTGCTCACCCAGCATCTAAGTTTGTTGTTCTCCTTTTTTAATTGCATTAAATCTTTCAATCAGTAAATCTAGAGATGGCCTTCCAGTTTTCTTCGCAACTTCTGGCTTTCTTTGCGACTTCTGCTGTGAATCATATATTTTTGATATTTCTTTGTCACTTAAAAAGATATCTAGTTGTTCTTTTTCATCCAAATCTTGAGAGTTTGGACATTCATCCTCACATATACTGTTAATTAGAGCAGAAAGTTCTCTATCATCTTCAATTACTTCTGATAATATGGGATGTTCCAGAAGGGGCACAGTATGTTCTGCTTGAGTACTTGGCAGACCCGTTTTATGATTACTATTAATCTGTATTGGGAATTCATTTCCACCACAGGGATATTGTATGCGTTCTACACCACTCAATGATAAGTCCAAGTCATCTGAAGACACAAAAACAAAACATTAATCAAATTAAGTAGTAGTAGTAATAATAATAATAATAATAATTAAAAAAAAGCATCGCTCATTTTGATCAAATGTGAAAGAATATCCAAAATATAGAGCTAAGTTTCCTTTATTACTATGTACAAATCAAAGCAGACACTTTCCTCCAAACTTCAGGTAACATCTTTTACAAGCAATTGTGAAATTTTATCACTTATTATAGCTGATGCAACATTTCAGAGCTAAGATTGCAAACAATGGTGGGTTAATACCACTAGCCTGCGAATTTAAACTCTTTGTTTGTTGCCCAAAGTAAATAATGTGATTTTATATAATGTGCTGAATCCAAATTTTTGTTCTGTTTACTTCAATCAGTTAAGGTTTTCTAGCGTGTGTATTACTACAATACACGTTACGTGTATTATATAATCATGCGAATTTCATCACAAATGTTTTCATAGTACATTTTAAAGAATAAACAATATTTAATACACACATTTTTAACACATAATATACATTATGCACATTAATATATACATATTTAACTTTCTGAAATTAACATGTATGGCTATTAATACATGCCACTAGTGTTTTTGCATTATTTTATCTTGTTTACTTCGTCATTGGCAAGTTTTACACATTTTACACCCTCACTTCTTATCTGAGAAAGTCTTCCTATTCCTTTTTCTTTTATGTTTGTCTTAATAAGGAATTTAACACTAATCTGCAGTCCAACTAACATCCAACAATAATCTGCAGCAATAAAGCGGCTAATGAAGCAACTTCTTTACAACAATGGACAAGAGTGTGAAGGAGTTCTCTCCGATATCAAACTACATATTAAAAATCTGGTTAAGAAACAGTGGAATGAAAAATGGCTGACTACCTTCTCCAAACTTCACCTCGTAAGGAAATCCGTTATTGAACCCGCCCTCCCAAAACTCCAACTCACTAGATTCCAACCAGTCCAAATTACTAGCTACGTATTGGCCACTTTAATCTCTCACACATTCACCTAATAGCAAAAGCTGACCCATTACCCTGTCCTAAATGTGGATCCCTAGTATCTACATCCCATTTTAATTTAAAAGACACTATATAATTCTGTCTCCTCCCCAGAATAATGTATAAAAGTCTTACAACGTTTAAAAACATCAAAAATTGATACCTTAATATAAAGACCCTCCTTTACCTATATCTCATATACAATAATCCTTCAAACATATTGTTAATATCAAAAACTCGTGTAATGTAAATAAATGTGTATTCATCCCAATTATGTAAGTACCCAGAATATTAATACATTTTGACCATTTATATGCTTATTATAAATGTAAATTATAAATTGATTCTCTGGTCACTTATGACCCAGTTGTTGAAAAGAGACCATAAACAAACTAAAAATATACACACATGCACACGCACACAGATATATAAATAAAATCTGCAGCACACTGATGCTCTAACTTCCCTGGTACCTTCTTTCAAACTCCAGCACTTTCTTGCAAAATCATTTGCCTTGTTATTCGCTCAAAATTCTTATATTTTCAGGGAAATAATCTAGGTGAGGAATCAGGAATTGAATTTTCAAGTTACAACAAAGTATGTGCTTGTATGCTTCAAGCATATTAGCCACAAAGTTTCAACAACTGGGATCCTTGTTACCGAAAAAGTTTGAAACTTCACAGAAAGATACCCTTGCTGCTTTCTACTTTTCATCCATAGTGTTTTGAAAAGGAGGCATTTAACACCATTACTTTTTTAAAATATTACTTCAAATAGCATTAAGAGTTTCTCACATATGTACTTGTAACCTCTTTCCATACATACAGCCTTTACAAATTGTTTCTGTGTTCTGTTTCAGAAGCTTCGCTATTTGGGGCGTATATACCTATAAATTCCTTCTCTATTCCTTTCACATTAAAATATAGGGTTAAAATATTTTCATTGACTCATCCAGCTCTTAAAACAATAATCTTTTTAATATGGCAATGGAGAGTTCTCTCTTTGCTCTAATTTCTTTGTTCACTCCACTAAATATATGAATATAGTATTTAAAACCCTTTTCTCCCCCCCCCCCCTACAAGACAGCAATTTCCACATCCCATTTCCTAAGCTTTTTCCAATACTTCTACTCTTTTCAAATTAAGATGCTGTACATTCCATTAATAAACCTTTTCAGTTTGCATTGTCATTTCCTAACATTCCTGTTATATTTTTTCTGTGACATTTAGCAATCCAGCATTTTTTAACAGGGTAGGGGTGCTGGCCCTATGCTCCAAGCCCCAACCTGGAGGACCGGAGATTTCTTCTTTGGGGTTACCTGCCCGTAGACAGGCTGGCTTCCCTCCCACCAACAGAGTCCTGCCCATCTTTCCCCCAAGAGAAGGGAGGGATGAATTTAGGAGCAGGTGGGAAGGGTAAAGGAATGGGAATATGCTGGAGTGGCCTGATGGGTCGTTGAGGTATACCTTCGTCTGACTCCTCCACTAGAGTCAATTATATTAAGAGATTATCCCTCAAATAACTTTTACTATCTGAACTACTGCACTTACAACTTCTATGCATAACTCTCTTTTACTTGCTGTGAAGCTGTAGCAAGTGTTTCATACTCTTTTAGCAATTAGCTTTTTTGTATATTTATTACTTGCATTATAGCATGTAACTTGTTTCAGGTATTTGCTTTGCATATTTATTTCTAATTCTGTATACAGGTCTACTTTCACCCCATACCCCTCCTCCTTATATTCAAGACAATATAATAAAATTGTTCTGGCTTTTGAAGTGTATAGTAAAATAAATTCTGTTCCAGTATGCTTCTATTATTCCGATTTTCTATAGGTTTGTGTCTGAGACAGGGCATTTTCTGCATTCAAAAACATTTTTTTCAGACAAAAAGAATCCAAATCAAGCAAATACGAAAAAATCATTGATTTCACTAATAAAAAGGAAAAAATATGTAAAATTGATGCTAAAATTTGTTGGTTTAATTGACTGTTGCCCTTCATCATGCATATTCAGTTATTAGATGGCAGATATTTTGCAAGCCGATTTTAAAATTTGATAATGCATGAATATCTTGTCTTTACTCATCATTCAGACGATGAATATTATAAAAGTCACATTTGTAAGCTCGGTGTTCTTGAAAGCTGCCCCCCCCCCTCTAGTCCGCAACAATTACCTATCCCAGTATATTGCTTCAAGTGACCATAGGCAAAAGTTAAAACTGCAAACGATAATAAGTAAAACAAACAAGTCAAACACACTCCCTCTCCCCGCACACAAACAAGTCAGCTCCCGACTATAATTGTTGTGAACCTTACCTGCGAGACTGTCTGAATCAAAACTTTCGTTATTTTTGTCTTCCACCAATTGCTGAACAAGCTTTAAAAATAAAATTGAAAAGAATTTATACAAAATTTAAAAGTAATCACTAATACAATACACACACATGTATATACAAACAATAAATCAAATACTAATTTGCATTTCATCTTTTCTATATTTTAAATAGCCCGTATCACAGCAAATCAAAATCAGATATAATCAAATCCTTATTCATACTAACCTTATCTAAAATCTTGTCTACATTAGTTCCAGTTACAGACTTAGGTTTTTCAGAAGTGGTAGGAGGTTTTATTTTAGTCAAGGGTGTACAAGCCAACTGCCTTCGAACCAAGCAATTTGCCGGCTTTGCAAAACCCATACTTTGTCTTCTACCAGTAGTACGAGACAAAATTGGTACTTGACTTTTTGAGACTGGTGTACTATTCTCAAATTTTAAGGCTGACATTGGGTAATGTAAGGGAGGGCCTGCAATGAATCACCTAATCAAATATCCATAATTTGACAAAGAAATCCCAACATCACTCCACCTGCTGGAAAAGTTATATGAAGGAAATAAACAATTGGCTTTGAGACAAAGAGTCCGAACTTTGAAGGCTTCATTCTCCTCAGAAATAAAGTGAGTAATGAAATTTAAAAAAATTATTTTAAGCCATTTAAGTATGATGAAGAGGAAGAGATGGGAGTGTTCTTTCAAGCGCGAATTGGGAGGCAGAGGGAGGAGTTGGGGGTGTTCGAGAGGTGTGAGAAACAAAGAGAACGGTGATGAATGTGAGAGAGAGCAAGAAAGACACGCGAAAAAGAGAAAGTAAAGAATAGGAAAGGGAAAAATTGAGGAATGCGACAGATTGGGCAAGGAGATGGATTTCATTTATTTATTTACTATATGGACTCTTTTTCTGTCCAAATATGGAAGATAAACAAAAATTTATAAAAAATGTAGCACAAAATTGCAGCATAAATAAGGCACAAAAATATAGGTTTAGGAAACTTGCAGATCAGAAAGCAATTTATGGAGTATGTTCTCAAACAGTCAAACATTAAACTGATTAGTATACTCAGGTAAAGAGTTAGACAGAGAAAAAGAAAAACGACAGAGAGAAAGAAGAGGGGAGGGAGAGAGAGAGAAGGGGGGGGGAGAGAAAGAAGAGGAGAGAGAGAGAGAGAAAGAAGAGGGGAGGGAAAAAAGAAGAAAAAAGAGAGAGAGGAAGAAGTCTGGATATGCCAGAAGGGGAATTGTGTGCACTTCTGTCATATTAGAGACAAAAAAAGTGGAGTATACTGTAATTTAAAATTTCTGTAAAATCTCTGAGAAAACTGTAATTTAAAATCTCTTAATGGTTTCTTAAAATACTGAAAAATATTTATTTCCTTCACAATCAAATTTATATTTATATTCTTTCATATCAGAAAACTGGTTGTCAATGGAAAATTAGAAACTTCTGTAAGGTAAAATATTTTAATTATGAATCAATTGCCAATATTTCAGGAATTTCACATATTACAACTTACATTAATATTATGTATTTGCATTTTTGTTTCCACAGTAAATTTTTAATGAATACTCACCAGTAGTTGAACAAAGCGATGGGAAAGAAGTCTTTAAGTCAGATGAATTGAATCTTTGTGTTGCAAATTTGCTTGGCGTTTCTGCCATTCGAGAACGCATTCTTTCAACTACTGCCATTATAGTTTCATTCGATTTAGGCTTCTCAAACTGATCACTCACGATTTGGGTTGGGATAATACGAACTGGAGACGCACAAACCTTGGCAGGCACAACGCATTCTGCTAAAGACTCAAGATCCATTTTCACAGGTTTTTTCTTAAGTTTCATCCAATCACGGGCTGCAAAATACATTAAAAAAATAGAAAAAGGAAATATGATTAAAAAATAAACAGAAGTAATTCAAGACAACTTGAAATTAACCTCAGGCATCTTTGAAAACAAATTTTAAAACTTGCCAATTGGTGTGACGTGTGTAATAGGGGTGAAACCAAGGGAAGCATCTTCTGCTGGAGAATTCATGTCTACCACAAGCGGTGAAGATCCCAGCAATGTGTTTATATCAACTGATGTATTTTGATCAACATCAGCTGAAACTGCAAGAACACATTGTTTATTATTTATAAGTGCAAATTTAGTATTTAATAGTACTAACACTGGTATTTAAATCAAATGATTTTTTAAAAAAGATCTATTATTTAAATCAATATTTATTTGCAAATGTATTAGCATTTTAAATATTTGTAAAATAAAAATTACTCAGACAAATCAATTACAAAGTTGATGTAAAGAATATATTATTTTCCTTATGAACTTTTTCACATAACTGAACTATTTTCAGAAAATAAAATGCAATAAAATGAACAATTATGAACTTTTTCACATAACTGAACTATTTTCAGAAAATAAAATACAATAAAATGAACAATTACACAATGAACAATACAACTTATGAAACAAAGAACAATTTGTAGTGGAGTTATATACAAATAGATTTAGATTATTGATTAGTTTTTATCAGCACTTAATTGTCTGTAGGTAAGAACTAATTTAGCAGTAATATAGCCCTAACACACGAGATTGTTTCAAGAAAAACACATATGAAGCATCAACAGGGCCCATAATTCTAGGTTTTAATAAAAATGCTTGCTAAATTGTCTTAAAGTAAATCTTTAAGATGATGAGTATTAATAAAAATGGAATTTTATTATTGCTCATTAAAAAAAAAATTAATATTGTAAAACTAATGAAAAAAGTAGTTAATCAACTATTTTTATAATCTTAACCTTTTTCTTTATGTGTATATTGGCAAAATTCCATAGCACCTTCCCACTGACCATTATTATACCCCAATAAGAAGTTAATATTTCAAAATCTGTCTAAAATTCTTATAAGTTTTTTGATGAATACAGTTGTTTTCAACAATAAGTGTTTTTTGATGAGGGCGCTATTGCAACAACAACAAAAAGGTAAAATTTCCTGTAAGGAAGAAAGCCCTTTTTCGAATCCTGCTAATGGATGGTGCCACAAACTTATTTGGTAATGTGAACACAAGAGTGTTTGAAGAGCACACAGCTTTATGTAAATCAGATTTGAAGATTTTGTGGTCAGGGGGGAATTGAACTGGACCCATCATATTTACAGTATCTATTAAAAAAAAATAAAACTACTATTAATGATAAATATAAAAACTGATGATTTAATAAAATTTTCTCTGCTTTTGAAGTAATTACGAATAAATAAATCACGTAACGATTTGAGTTTAAGGGAAAAATATTTAATAGTTTTTAAAAAAAATTAAATCAAAAGAAGTTCTCAATGTAAGCTTATCCGCCACTTTCAGACCTTTTTCACGAAACAACACGCCACTCACAGGGATGTTCGAAGCACATGCTGTCTAGAACCAGTTCTTCAGTATTTCCTGCAGCTCCAAATACTTTGAATAGCTAGCATACTTCCTCTTCTTGCAACAATGTCCACTTTCATTTACACTTAATACAACTGAATCTTTGTTTCATTCTGTCGTGTTCAGAGTGGACACAGATATCCCCAACTTTCAAGCTAATGCAACACACGTTTCTTTATTGATTTCAACTTCCTCTAGAAGTTTGGATTTTTTTTTCTTCTTTCTCCCCCCCCCCCCCATAAAAGGACTGATTCTCTTTCTTTTTAAATCCATTACAGGGCAAAATTAACAACCATTAAAATTAAAAGTTTCTTAAAAGGCACAAAACTACAATACCCAATACATTAGCTTTGATACTCGTCTGATGCTATAATGACTAGCACACTACACTATAACTATACCAGAGCGAATTAATGAGCAAAAAGAGACCTCTTTTTACCATGAATGAACTCCAGACAAGACTAGAATTCGAAGCCGACGAGAACATTGTTGCAAAAGAGAACATTGCAAAATAGCAAAAATATCATGAAAAAAATGGCACATCACAGGTCTGTGATGGCTTCAAAATGTGCAAACGGTAGGAAAAATTTGATTTCACACGTGTAAAAGTGGGGATAATTTAAATTATGAACATAGAAAAATTGAAGGGAATGGAAAAAATCAGTGTAAACTGTGGGAAAACGTAAATTCCAGGAATGTAAAAGCAGTATTGTACTGCATTATTAAATGTCAACTATTTTGTATGAGATATGTGTACATTAGCTTGTTACTGCTTCCATGTAAATAAATAAGTTTAAATTTCTCACCGAGTTCCTCCAATTTCTCAATAAGGGCAGATGGAACATGTTCATCAAATTGGACATTTGGATCAATGCTTTTAGCATATTTTATCTTCAGTATTTTCACTGCCGAAATTAATTTCAATTGCATGATGTCAACACATATGCGATTCTGCAAAGAATATTATTATAAATACCATCATTAAGATTTTTCAGTCATCATATCAAACATAGAACATACCCTATCAACTTCGCAAAGAAAGTCGCTGATTTTGGAAACCTTTTCATCTGGAAGATTGAATACTGGTTGACATGCACAGTCTACTTTGTTATAAATATGATATACATGGACAAAATAAGGTTGTAGTTTTTCTTTTAAGTATTTCAGTTCATTTAATGAATTATCCTTCTTTTTAATCATTTCTGAAACCAATAATGTAAAAATAATTACAATGTTACATCATATCACATAAATGCAGTAGCAACAATAATCATAACAACAAAAACTGCTTTAACTCAATTACATAAATTCATTAAATCCACTCTACGATAAAAGCTTGGACACACTTGAGTTGCCCAGTGGAATACAGGCATGTGCCACAGAACACTGTTTTTACACGAGAGAAGGATTTCTGAAAGCCTATTTGTTGTGGAACACTAAAACCTTATACTAATTTTTTGAACTGGATCATAACTTTAATGAATTATTGGATATGTTATTAAATTATTGTGTGAAATACTCTTTTTACTTAACATTTTAATCAAAAAGAAAGGAAATATATACAAACGAAACAGTGGCAAAGACTTCAAATCATGAAACTCTATATAAAATAATATGTAATTTAAGTTATCAGCAACTTTTGAAATGAAGATTCTAATACAGTTTGCATGATTGCATTAATTATTAACACCATAGAAATAATAAACCCTATTTAACATTTCCTTTATGAAGTCTTTTAGTTCCTGTCTTCAAATTCAATCTTATACATAGTGCCATTACGTCTTCAATTATTATAGAAATATGCATAAATCGATAGTATTATACACACGTTTTCCTAAACCCTGAAATACAGACCACCACTTCTTCGCTGATTCTTTCATCCGCAAAAGCACAGCTAGCCAAAAACTCAAGGGGCAAAAGAAGTGTAGGTGTTAGCTTAGTAGGTGTAGCAAGTGAAAACAGCTCACTTGGCAAGTAGTGACCATGAAGGAGATGGCAGGGAAGCAAGAGGGATGGCACCAGTACAAGGAGTGCTAGTGGAAAATGTAGCAACAAGACAGTGGTGACAGAGAGAAGTGTTGGTAACATGAATAATAGTGGCAGATGCAGGAATTCCCAAGGCCTGATCGTAGTAACAGAATTTTGTTGGTTCAAACAACAAAAGTGACCATTCCTAAACTATATCAAATGAACAAAGGAAGGGAACAATGGCTAACATCAATGCAGCATTTCAAGATGATTGATATTCCCAATATATTTTTATCTAAGTAATACTATCCAGAGCAGATCTTCACCATTTTGTGTTACTGCAAAATAGTTAACAATTGTTGCATTACATTGATAAATATAAATTGGATCAATAGCAAAAGGATAAAAATCACCTGCAATTATATTTTTGTCACTTATATCAAGAAATCTTCTCTTTATGCCTTCATTCCAATAGCCCGTTGACACAACGAGCTGCAGAACTTCAATCTGGTGGGCAACCGCTCGCTCATTTTCCTCTTTCTTTTGCTGAATTTGTTGTCTGCACACAAATAACAAACAATTCAATTGTAATGTTTTTCAATTGAATATCATTTGTACTTTCGCAAAGACAATCATTTTCAAATGTAATTTTTTCTTCTTTTCTCCCCTTCTTCCTTTTTTCAGCTTTATAAACTTTCATTTAGAAAAATTTGTTTAGGTGAGACATAGGACAAAAAGGGCTTTTTTACATTGCTCAGAACAGAGCTTTGAGTTTTGATACTCAAACACGGATTTTAAAGCTAAAATACACTGATTATTATTATCACCTAATGATCTTTTTGCTATGACCTCACAACAACTATTAAGTAATGAATGTTAAAAATAACTATTTATCAGGTGTTTCAATTAATTGATCCAAACATATCAATAGGGTTGGAGTTTTCACCATAAAATGTAATAGTTTACTGCTAGGATTGAGGGCTTTCTACACATTTTTTGATATTATGACACTTTAGTAACAAACAGTTCTAAAAATATGTTTTTCTGGGTTCAAATTCCAGCTCTGATATCACTGTGATACATTACACACACACTCTGATACATTACACAAAATGAAAATAGAAATTGAGCAAAAAATAATGCTGTTTTTTTTTGTTTTTTTTTGTTTGTGTGTGTGTGTGTGGTGTTGTGTGTTGTGTAATAATATCCTGGTTTTATAAACATCTCAAAATTTTCTGACTTCTGCTTCTTCAACAAATTCCCAGATTTTCCTCTGACTTTTCCAGAGCAATGAAATTCCCTGATCTTTTACCAGTTTTCCAGAAACTCGACTCAAATAAGATAACCTTCTCTATTTGCCTTATTGGCTATGAGAAGCTACCAACATGTAAGCCTGGCAACTCAGTGGTGTTGCTTTGAGACTCAATATACAGAGCCATCCTCAAATTACGTAATGCAAATTTGGACTATTTTGAATACTCCCTCTCCCCCTGTAACGTATGCTTGAACCCCGTCCCCCAAATAATTACGTAAAGCTTGTGACACCCCCCCCTCTCATTTACAGTAAATAAAAATAAATTACCATAGAACTAAAAACCATTTGTATTAATTTTTTTTTTGTTAAAAATTAACATTTATGAAGAAGTTAGAACTAGTTGGTGATGCTGACAAAACCTAAGAAATTTACTGAAAATTTTTGAGAGAAGGAATGATGCATGACAATTTCTAACAAGATGTGCAAGAGCCATCATGGATCATACATAGGCGACAGACTATTGTGTCAACTTAATTGAATTCTAGAATATATTATAGATCAGTTTCAATATTTTCTTTGTTATCTAACAGATTCAATCAATATATCGTTGATAAAAAATTATTTCCATTAATTGTAACTATTTCCTGATAATTTCTTTAAATAAAAAAAAAAAAATTTTGTTAATATCTAAATCTTTTAGTATGCGACCGAATAAAAGGGATTATTTCAAAAAATGTTGGAAAACAAGAATCACTGTAAAGTAAAACTGACTGTATACCCGCTATCCCTATGTAAGACAGTGTAACACTGCTTCACCGCAGCCCCTCTCAAGAGGCTTGACATAGCGGATGACCCCTATGTAGTAAATACAGGATAAGGATGAAGATATAAAAGGTAAACCTTTTATCACATATACAAAATGACTCAATGTAGTTTCAAGTACAATTTCATAATCATTTGCCTTGCTCTCATTTCAGTAAACAAATATTCAGTAATTTTTATGATATAGTATTATATACATAAAATATTAAAAATTCTGCTTTATGCCGATATCATTCAATACCAACAAAAATTTTATAGAAATTGTGTACATCTTTTGTGGAGTTAGTGAAATACAGATACAATAAAAAAAACTCTTTTACTCACTTTCTAAGATAACACAAAGTAATACAAAAAAGAGAAATGGTTGGTTTAAAATAAATATTTTAGTAATCGACTTTCTACAGTGATCCATAACATGTTATGGGAAAGTTTTAAAAATTCCAAATTGGAGGAAAAGAACGCAAAATTCTCCATCTAATTCTCATAATCTAATCCATAAAATTATTTAATAAATTTAAACCTTGAACAAATCTGAAAATGATCTTTTATTATCACAAATGAATATTACCTCAGATTATCACACTCCTTGGTAAGGTCTTTGAATTCTTGCAATATATCTTTGTCTATCTCTTCATCTGGCTCTGTAAATTTAGACAGGAAATAATTACCATTCCCAAGTTTAAAAATACTAATAGTGAAACTTACAAGGAAAAGTCATAACCAACTTACGATATTTCTCTTTTCTCATGATAAAAAGCATGAGACATGTTGTTATCTTTAACAAATGCTCTCTGCATCTCTGACCATGAAAACAAATCAAACTAGATGGGGTCAATAGCGGAAGGCCAACTTCTGGGAATTCCTACAACCAAAATTATTGTAAGCCCAAGTTTTCTGCTACTTACTCAATCCATATGGCTTACTTATTACCTTGCGCAGAGCTTTGAAATGATCACAAAGCATGTTATTAAACTGTCTTTCATCCTGTGGTGTAATAAAGCGACTTGAAATCTCAGAACGCCAACTTGGTTTGAGGATATCAAAAACGAACTTCATTACATTCTGAAATGTTCGCTTATCTGGTAAGGACAGCATATTCTGGAATATAAAAAGTAAGAAACGACAGAGTTCGCAACAGGTGCCATAATTATGTTACATTACCAAATTAGTTTCATCAAGACCATAAAGTCGTTACCTCTTTAACAACAGACGCACAATCGTCATTTGGATAAAACTGCAACAAAAGTTGGAAATTTTCAACAAGTTCCTCTCCAAGAGAAGAACGGGATGTCATCTTGAGGGGTACGTAAGTACTACCCGATAATAATATGTGCCACTTATTAGTATACACACGTTACTTCAACTACTTTAACACAATCAACACGATGGACACGGGACTACACAGAATACTTCGGAACACGTTTGTTGTAATATTACTCCGAACTGTTAGTGTGTTTTTCGCGGGCAGGACTGGGTTAGGACTTTTCGCGGGCTTATCGTACCAACGTTCACAAATACTATTCACAAAGCTTATGTTGGCAATTCATTAATAACATGCCACCACGCGAGAATGTAAAGGAAATGTTAAACCAAAACAAGTAGGAGTGGTTTTCCTGAATAAGAAATTTTGATGAAGCTCTACAGTCAACATGCATATGATTCCTGAATTAAGGCCACCAACAGAATCGAAATATGTTGGCAATTCTTTAATAACCAATCGGCACACGGGGATGTAAACAGATTTGTTCGACGAAAATAGGTGGGAATTTCCAAGAAGAATACGGAATATTGAAGCCCTAATAGGATCAAGGTATATGTGTGTGTATATGTATATATATATATATATATATATATATATATATATATATATATATATATACACACACACACATACATACAAGGTGTGTGTGTATATATATACACACACGCACGCGCACACACCTACCCACCCACATTGAAATATAAACAGTCGAATATGTAAGTATAGAACGATTATCAATAATAATATTAATCATTTAATATAAAATTGTATCCCCTTTTTTAACATTCAATAAACAAGTATTCAAAATTAGTTATGTCCTCTAAATTAGACTTTAAGGATGAGGTCGGTACGTTAATTGCCAGTTGCTAGTTTATTGCTTAATCAAAATCAATATTTACATTTTCTTGAGTTAAGAATTGTCATTACTAGACGGTGGATATGTAGGTAAATACCTATTTCTTTTCTTGGGTACATTTGTACTATATGAATTTTTATATATGCCTTTAAGAATATTTTAACTAAAATATGTCAATTTTATAGTGCCTAAAAGAGCCTATTTCACCATTAATGCCTATTTTTGTATTTTTACTAAAAGAGGCTATTTTGATAAATTACCTGTGCCTCTAGCTTCTTTTAACTTTTTTCTGTGTCGACAAAGCAGACAAGGATGATTTCAATCTTAAATTACGTAAATATGTAAGATATCGAGAAACAACTTCTTTATTGTTTGAAGATACCGCCAGATTGTACGAAGGCTTCTATTGCGTCTAGTCTGGATCCTAAACTAAGATCCTGAATAACAATAGATGAAACTTCTGCTATTGGCAGGAAAGTTGTATGGTGTAAAGAGTGCATGAATTTGTGCTCTCAAAATCATTTTTAAAACGTTTGTATTGTTTCTAACATTTGTTAAGGAATATTTTATAAATGTAATTTCGGGTTTTGAAAATGTTAGCTTTATAATTAATAGGGAGAGATTTTGATGACCTACAACATTACAAAATAATCAATAAAATGCCCATAAAATGTTTTAAAATTAACTAAAAACAAAGAAAAATGACGAAAATATATTGGATCAAAACCACTTCCTGGAGGAAATGCTGAGATGGTTCCTTGTTTTGCTTCTGGCCATAAATGTAACTTCAAATTAACTTCTCCCCATAGCACGTCACACAGTTTTTAACAATTTTAACGTAAATAAACAAATAGATGAAAAACTCATGCTGTTAGATATGTTACTGATGTATTCGGGGCTTCTTCCTTTTATTCAAGTGAACTCAGCTTGTAAACTTATAGTTTGGTCTTCTCTTTACTTTTATCGCTAAATCGGCGGACCTACTAATGGCGCCGACAAGCGTCACAGGAACCTCGGATTGCACAGCATAACGGCCGACATTACAATACATGAGCGATGAAATCGAATTCGCTACTCAGGAATTCTCTGGTGAACGTTTGCTGCATCTCATAAATATTGTTAAAGCATAATATTAATAAAGGAAGTATCATTTCAATGATATTAAAATCGATTAAATACGCAACAAATGCATTAAACACAACGTAAAAGGTAAAACAATGATTTATTAGTCGAAATCGACGTAAATGAAAAAAAAGGGCATATAAAATTGGGGCATTTCATTTTATCATAACATGAAATAGTGCTCTCTGGTGAAGTCGCCCGCCACTCGCCATAAGGTGTTCCTCATAGAATTTCATGTGAAATTGTTATGACAAAACGAGTTTGCGTGATTCACAGGGGCTAGTCCAACCCCCTGAGAAGCGTCTTAAATCTTATCCGTATTCTGGTCGATGACGCCGGGCGCGGGCGAGACGCGAGGGCGAAGACGCCGTCTATCGGCGATTCCCTCACTTGACTGCCCAGCGGCCCCTGAGGATTACTCCACGGTGCGTTCAACGCTTCTTAAGGGGATAGGAGACGCGTTGCGTCTATATTGACGCGACAAAATTAAAAAAAAAATATTAAACGGCATTGTTCTAAATGGTAAAGAAAATCATTAAAATCCGCTCCCTAATAATTAGTGTGTTAGTATATTACATATTATATACCATTTTACGTATTTATTACATATTCTTAGTCTTTTGCCGATTGTCTTTTGTACTCGCTTACTCCTTCCTTATTTATGTACATATTTTGAAGTTACATACTATACATTTTTACGGTCTCTAACAATGACATGCCCCTGATTCTACATAAGAGCAAACAGGTCCTATTTGTAGATGTCAGAAACATCATTAAAACAAAGAGGTCTATTAGCAAATGAAGGAGCTTCGCCACGCGCATGTTTTGTTGACCTCTCCTTTCGCTGATCGTGATAGGAGTAGAGCTGGAGAGATGTCGCCGGAATTTTTTTACACAATGTACTGTGACGAACCAGCCCGCCGGAATACGCCGGTGACTTGTGCGGACCGAACCTAGCGAGGTCCCTCAACGCGGCGAGACACGTGACTGTTCGACAGAGAGCAGGATGCTCACGCTAACTTTATTTAAATGTGGGCAGCAACGCGTGATACCGACCTGCCTCCTGCGCCACTCTAGAGATCTCAAGGGGCGAGTCGCTCTGGGTCGGGATGTCGCGCCTGCTCTGGAAAAAAACACTTCCAATTGATTGTTTAAATGTTGTCTGTCAGAATGGCGTGCACACATTTATTCAACTTAGAACTATTTTATTACATGGACATTTAATGACTTTGTAACAACGCAATCCCCTTCTTTGTCCACTATCGTTCCAGTCTTATAATTCTGTGATACATTTTGGGTATGCTCGGCTGGATTTGCGCTCAAATCGCGAACGCCAGGTGATGCCGCTAGAGAAATTGAATTGAATTAATGCCTCATTTTACGTGGCGAGACTCAGGCCATGTGGTCTGACCACGCAAATTTAGCTACGCTCCTTTCACCAACTAGCACAGAAAGGAGGTATTTCTTGGGCGAGAAACAGGCGATTTCAATTTAGCTCAGAGGCGTCATTGAGGCTTGAGGATCTTTTACATTCAAGTAAATCTACTAACATGGGACAGCCGGCTTTACGACCTCTCCGAAGGATTTTTTCGATTTTTTAAAAAAATCCACCGCTTTGATCGGGTTTGAAGATGCCAACTTGGATACAATAGTCCGGTACGCTAACTGTTACACCATCGCAACACCAGACGAGGGGCGGCTTCTCAAGTCCAAGGGCTGGCGCGGGCTTTATTACATGTTTTTTATTTACGTCAAAAACAGTTAAAAATGTGTGTAACGTGCTATGGGGAGAAGTTAATTTGAAGTTACATTGATGTCCAGAAGCAAAACAAGGGGCCATCTCAACATTTGTACAAGGATTAGGGAAATTGGATGAAAAACCTGATAGATATGGGGGTCATTGACGTAGAAGCTGAAGTACAATACTTTTCACATGTTCTTTAGAATGATACAATCCAAATGGTAAATAATACATTAAATGTCATTGTTAAAATTAATATTACTTTCCTTTTGGATGCTCGGTATAGTATCTAATTGTATAGAAACAGTTGTGCAGCAGAAAATATTTTACTTGGGACGTTAACATTTGTATCGATGTCATCTGACAAGGTGTTGTAAAAATAATGTACATGTATTGTACGTGAATTTTATGTAGTGAGCTGTTGACACTGTCAACTGATGAATATGATTACTATGTCGAGTGTAGTAGTTATTGACAACGGCGTTTAAAATATATTCCCGCCCTTAAGTAAGTCTTTTTGACAAAAACCACTGATTCATATATTAAGAGACAAGGTAATGGTAAGACACCTAGATTAATAAAGAGAGGCTTACAAGAATCACGTGGGTGGGATTTGCTTTTTATTCGTACAATTCTGTCTTGTAATCTAGAAGTCTCGGGGCTATAAGACGTATTGACCCAGAATATTATGCCATATCTCAAGCGGGAATGAACATTCGACAAATATACCCGAGCAGAATGAAGGCTGACTGAATTTGAAGGGCGGGGCAATTAGCAAACGTCAGAAGTCGAAACATCTCACTACCACGTAGGGTTTAATCAGAACGTTTTATCAAATTAATTTACTTTGCGTTCAACGCAGTTAACATACACAGAAGCACAGTTTTAGTGCTTTTACAATTAATTTACATTAAATAACTTTGAGCTGGATTAATAGCCTCGTACACTAAACATCACTTTAAATATGTTTGATTAATAATGGAAATTTATGGAAGGCGAACGCACCTTTATATGTGAGAATTTCACCTCAGTGTCATAGCTGTCGTTACATTCACGTACGCTTGCTCCATTGATAATAAACACTTCATATTCGCAACGAGAAATTTGAACCCAGTGTTGTTTGTTACAAAATCTCTTAAAATAGCGAGGCTCTAGCTGTTTGCTTGCTCACACAATTAAGGGCAGTCAAGTGATTTAGTCGTCTCCTAGTTGGAATAGTCCGCTGTCGCCCAGTGAATGGCGCCTTTCATGTCCAATCAGAGCGCAGGATTCGTCGGCGCTCGCGCCTCTAGTTTCGAGTCCGACTGTGGCAGCGGTCGGCTGTCTGATCGCTAGTTGACCCTGCTTTTCCTGACCATACCTCGTCCGTCCGTGGCCTATCTTCCCGCCTACTGCGACACCAAGTGGCTGCCCTCTGCTTTGCCCGCACGGTGCCGGGAGCTGAGAGCGTGTCCCGGCTGGGGCGGGTTAAGACACCGCCTCCTCCCGAGACTTAAAAAAGGGATCTACACCCTCAGAATAATGACCTTGGCAGTTAACACGAGCGTCATGTTGCCGT